TTTCGAATTTTTTCAAATTTAATCGATACACGGGACAAATTTCCCGTGCCTATTATCAACGAGAAATTAAAAACAGATGAAAAAAGATTCGTTACGAGTTTAACACACCTAATTATATCTCTGGAGAGAAACAGACATTCCAAGATTACTCGTTATGCGAAATAAAAATTCTCTTGTAATTTTCGAATCGCTCTCTCAATTTAAACGATGTCGAATTTGCAGAACTAGCACGGTGTGCCATCGATTTTCCAGAGAAAAAAAAGTCCGTTTCCACGACAGCTTTGAATCGATCTCGAACGTGGATCGCTCGACTTTTCCACGCGCCACAATGTTCATCATCTTTTTCCGATAATTAAGACGGTTTCCCTCGTGAGATTGCACGCGTCAAGACACGTGTCATTTAATCAAAATGTTATTGTAATACTAGTTCGATAAGTAAAGAACGGAAGAGAATGAAGAAAAAAAAAACGAGCGAGCGAGCGAGCGCGCGCGCGCGCGCACACACGAGTTTTAAATACACATCGACTGATTATCGTTAAGGATGGATCGCTGGAACGAAGATTAGCGAGAAATTTTATTGTCGAATCTAGAGACATCGCTCTGATTATTCTTAGACACGCTTGTTTCGAAACGCGCGTAACCGCACAATGGCTAATTTTCGTTTGGCCGTCCATTCCGAGACTCTGATGCGGGATTTTTCCACTTTCTTTTCGTGGTTACTTCAGCTTTACGAGTTACAGGATATTCGAGTCTGTGGGTCGCGACCGAGTCCCCGCAGTTTCGATACGATAAAGCGAATTTTAGAGTGCACGAGGAAAATATTTCTATAAACGTACGCGTTGTACGGCAACAAAGTATCGGGATACGTCGATTGAAAGAGTTCAACGATTAATATAATCGCGAAATTTTCGATGTTAGGAGCAACGAACGGGAAAAAATATATTCGTACGAGTCGTCTCGTGGTAACCGTTGAAAGAAATTGGTTACCGAACGATTGGAAACACGAGGAAATTGACTCGAGTTGGATTACTGCATTTTTTAAACATAACGTTATGTTTGTACAAAAAGAATTCCAAGCTTACGTCTGAACAGAAACGATTACGAAAGATACCAACTTCGAATGTTAGTTTAGGATAAATCGCCAAGTAATGGACGTTGATTTTCATTGCACTTAACCTTGAAAAATAAAAGACAACGTTTTCTCTTTAACGATAGTGAAAAACATTGATGCCCTGTTCGGTAACCATTTTATGCAACGTTTATCTCAGAGACGAATGAACAAAAATATAAGAACAATATCGAGACCAAGCTATCCAAATTTCACGTTTGGTATTATATTCGTCGAGGTTGATCACGATACTATGTTGCGTGGTCTCTCTTGGTATACGTAAAAAAAGATAAAACACTTTAAAGGAAAATGGGAATCACTAGTGTGTATATACAGGACCACAGGTTCGTTAATTTTACAATATAAAAAAAAAAAAAAAATGAAAAACACAAAAATATCCGAGGAACGCTCGTTGCCTCGGGTTCAGAATAGTGAATATAGTTGAATTGCGCGTCTTGTTGCGCGCCTGACGGACCGTGACCGGTCGTCGTCGCTCGCGGGTCCGTACGCCATATTTTAGGCGCACAAGCAGGAAGTGTATAGTGTTTAAAACTCGCAGAAAGAGCCAACAACTCTCCCTCAGCCCTTGTTACGAGCCAGCAGTTGAACAATGATATCTGATTTTTATCGCCAGAGAGCAGTAATAGCACAAGTGAAACCGTTTCTAAGTACATTTGTTATACACGCATATTGTTATCATTGCCACGTAAAAGCAATTATTAACTCCATAGCCTGGGCCATTGTTAGTTGAACGAGAGAGCTAGAGACTGTTTCTTGAAGTTGGGTTGCACCGACGCGTTTCGCCTTTTATTCCTAACTACTGTTACCGATGCTTTCCTGCGATACCATTAAGCTCTAACCGACCGAGTAATTTCGTGCGATTCGCAATACAATCTCTCGCTTACGCCCTTTCCACTTTTTCTTTCTACGATTCTGTGTACATGATTTCCTTTTACGATGGTTCGAAAGACGCGTTTAAGTGGCACGAAACAGAGATAATCTTTAAACCGACGTAAGAGTATGAAATTACGAGTGCCTGTTCGCGTATTGTTTCTAGGTCGGTAAATCGGTAACACCGTTCGCTGGACGACGATTGGTGCTGCCACTGGGCAACAGAGAACTATTTTACTCGTAGCTTTCGTGCGGATAGACTAGACGTAACTATGAGAGAAACTGGAGATGACGCGAGAAAGAGAGACCTCGAAAGTGGGTAAATGTGTCTCATTCCAACACACGTCTCGGTGGGAAAAGATAGAAGAAAGTCGTGGATGCGTCGTGAAACATCTTGTTACCCACCGCCAGTCTATCTTACCACTTGCTGTGCTAGAGCGAAGACACGAACCCAGAGCTATCTCTATCCGTCGATATAGTCTTCAGCGTCTCCATAAGAGAGCGCAATTTATCCGTAGAACCACTGAACTATGATAGTTCGGTGCGTAAAACCCAGAGATCCGCCTATAACCTTACGATTTCACTTTCGCGTTAAATGTAGATTTTAGAATTTTAGAATTTTATTATACCGTGAACGCAAAGATGCGACAGTATTATGTCCAATCGCGTAAAGTTCGTTGAAAGAAGCAATTTATTTTGTTGTCCCGGTCCATAAATTCTCATTCGTGCAACCCTGCATCAAGGAAGATCGAGAAAGAGATTATCGTAATAACTGCCGATTACTCGGTAACAATGGCAACGCCCATACATACGAAGTCTGTAATCGAAATGCTTTATATTTTTACACCGAACAAAGCAGTATATAACGTACAATAAACAATAAAACATGTCCTTCCATACGCAACCTCAAGATGACAAATGTTAAATTTTTATTTTTACAACAACCCACTATCACTTCCGATATCTGAGCTATATTCGAGCATATTCATAGTTGAGACTATTTAAGTAGGATATTTAAACAAAGTCGACTAGATTAATTTTAATCGACTCACGAGATTTACGATTTCTACTCGACGATCGTCTTTATTGTAATATACGCAAACTGTAAACGATACGACAGTCTACGCTAGTGATACATTGTAATTGTATTTATAACACGTCTATACGTTTCGTGCCCGTTTATGTGATGTTATTATGCGCAAGATTTCGGTAATGTTTTGCACTCTTTCGTTTCACACGTCGCGAGAAAAAAAAAAAAAGAGACGCAAATGAAGACAAACGGAAATCAAATGCCAATGATTTGGCGGGTTTCGGTTGAAGTAAAACTCAAACGGTCAAAATGGCGGAATGGAAGCCAAATCCAAATAAAGTGATTCAACACGGTCTGTCCAAAATGCTAATATTACCGTGCTCCATCTATCAAACGATACTTTCTTTGTATCGTTAACCTGATGTACGCTCTCCAATAATTCGCGCAATTTTTTCAATAAAAATCAAAAGTAAAAAGCCGATCGGTACCAAAAAACGAGTCTCAAATAATGATACGTTAACTTCGTAAGGGACAATGTACATATGTATTTAAGATAGTTATATATATATATATATATACACAGACACGACACACATATTCAAATACATACCTGTAATACAAGAAGGTTTTCAATGTGCTGTTAGTTTAAACAATTCGAGCCGTTAAATATTTTTAGTCATATCCAAAAATGCTTAACCCGCTTGGAACATGACGAACTCTAAATCTGCTAATACAATGGTCGACGTTTCTTTGGTATTCATATATTGAATACTTCACAACCAAGAGAAACACTTTCATAACTCACAAATACACTTTATAAATATATTTATCCACAACATTTGTTTTGTCATTGTAACACAACCGATTTAAAACTATTAAACGAATTTCCGTACATTACTCGACTTTGAACGTCTTGCATCCGATACCGCGCGTCACCAACTGTTGCCAACTGTTAAAGAAAAAAAATGTTAACCTATTGTTGCCGCGAATCGAGCATACATTTGAACTCAAAACGCGAACAGCACATGTGACAACCTTCAGTGTGATGCCACTAATTGATAGCCAATTGAAAAAGCGTCGATCATATTTCAAGATTTTCCGTTTGAAAATGATAAAACGCTCGTTTAATTGGCGATCGCTATCGATGCAAATGCAAAATGAGTTAACAAAATTTTCGTTTAAAATAACGGATAAGATTTGATGGTATATTACACGTGAAGGATTCGAACGATGTTCAAAAGAAAGCCGATTTACTGAAACCACGAGCGTACGTAATACCTCAGAGCAGTTACGATAACAATACGTAAAATAACGAAACTTTTTGTGATTCGCGATGTATCGTAGATTATTACCGAGATACTGGTAATTTCACACGACAAATAATGAAATATATACGAACGTGAGTATTTATGTATGTCGACGCCACAAGAATTCGTTTGTACACTGAATACCTCTACCATTATGAAACTTTCGAGAAATGTCGATATCTGATTTTCGCATACGATTTTCTTCCGTAATTGTCGCTACTATCGATCTTCGATTTCTATCTTCTTCGTAGAATAGACTTTTTATATTATGAGTTTAAAATAACGTTTCTAAAATTAATTAAGGAAACCATCGAGAAGGATTAAAAAAAAAATCAAATAATTTATGTTTTTAAGACACTTCGAATAATGATGTAAGGAAAACCGTACCGACTTGTACGTGAAAGTATACGTATCCGACAAAGGAACATTAACCTTTCGATATCTCATAAATACGAAGGAATTTTCTTCGAGGGCGCAAATGTTTCTCATCGTGTTCGAACTAGAAATATGTTCAGTCCGTTAGAAAAACGTGAAAGTGGCGCGAAAAATCAAAATGTGTCAAATTTGCGATTTTTCTTAACTTGTGCAAAGTGTAAAGTATGGAGAATAGGAAATTTCCACTGGAAGTTTTTCGAGGAAGGTTCCTCGTAAAAACGAACACGTATCAAATAAACGTTTTTAATATTTCACGTTTTATCGCAATTTTCATCGAAAACATTCAATGCGAAGACAGTCTTTTTCGTCTCGAAGTTAACATTATTTTATGCGCATCGAATGTTAGGACTGTGTTCGTATTACGATAGTTGTTAGAGGATGACGTTTCTCGGTCGCTAGAAACAGAAAATAATCATAAAAAAAAAAGATCGAATTTTTCGCAAAGAGAGAGTACACATGTACACGCTTACTGGGAAACATGTATATGTATTTCAAGGCATCTTTATGCAAAATTGATGAATGTTTTACGTGTACTAAAATGTTCCCTTTTAATCCTATTAAGACTTACAAAATATAAGTATTATACTTTACTTGTATATATACATATGTGATAAAAAATATATATATATACACCTGGTTTTTCATGTCATATTTATATTGTGTCCTTGCAATTTCTTAGTAAGAATTTACTAAGAGACGCGGAGGTATTAAGTATAACACGTGTATTGTTTATTATAAAACGAACGTATTATATTTTATTTGTTAAATTATTATCAATTAAACTATCAACACTTTTTGAAGAATTATCAGTCTCACGTTATCTTATACACCAACACTGCAAGACATCCAACATGGTCGTGTAATACTTTGGTATTAACGCCATTGTGTTGCCCTACAAAGTTTCCTTAAATTGTGTACAATTAATACACGTAACACTGTTGTGTTACATGTAACTTTTAAAGCCTTTTCTACCCTCCTTTCAATTAATAATTATAACGTATATTTATAAACAATATTTTTTTAAATTACATGTATTCTTGTGTATAAACTTTACTTAGATTTACAAGTTAAAAGCAAATATACATATATTAATAGGAAAGTACATGTAAGCCAGAAATCGATACAATTTATACTATGTATATATATATATAAATATCTCCTGTAAATTATTACTTAAAATTATATTGTTAAATCATTGAGATCATAAAAATATAATTTAATTTTTATGTTTCCTGAAACTGAGTTTCTGTAGATAAAAAAAATAATTTCATTGGATGAAGATGCTGCTTATTATCTTACAAAAAGAATCGATGCAGTTTTAGGTGTTTCATCGCATCGCAATTAACTCTTTAGCTGTAACACGCTCCGATTGAAAAACGATCGATGAAGTGTAGAACTCGAGACAGCATATGAATATGATGTTTACAACTAAAGGGTTAATTCAGAAGCAGCACTGATACTGGATAATGTATTATCGATCCAATTAGGATGAGGATAATTCCTTGGCGGACTCGGTATATTAACAGGCATTCTACTTTGAGTCCTAATGTCGTGGAACATATTCTGGAACTGTTCCGATATAGCAGTACGTAATAGATTTTGAGGTAAATTATTTTCTAAAATGTTAGAGCTATCGTCGATTAAAGTAGATTTTTTCTCATAACTTTGTTTTTTGTGTAATCCTGATGACTTTCGATTTTTAGGTGTATCATTTACACGTGCTTCTTTTTCACGAGTTTTTTCAGAAGGCGAGTTTAAACATTCTGACAAAGACATTTTATCGACGCTCTTAGAATTACGTAAATTATCAGTCTTTTTGTTATTGTGCGTTGTTACGTCTTCGTTTCCCTTGTGACCTTGAAGCAAAATATTATGCACCTAAATTTATTGGAATAATCATAATATATATATATATATATATATTGAACATAGTTACCTGATTGGCTAATTTCTGTGCAACCAAGATCTTTGTACGAGGATAAAAGCATAAGCGAAGATTCTCCACCAGGTAAACTAATAAACTCTAAATTAGCGGAATCTTTAGTTTGAGGTTCCTTAATTCTTTTTGTTTCGTTCTTTTCAAATTTTCCGAAATGATTTTCGGCACTAGCCGATGGTTTGTCTGGTTTGTGTAAAAACTTGTTTACATCTCTATTTTTCGATGGTATATGATCCACGGTAGACAAGGAAACATCGGATATATCATGCCAAGAAGTAGGTATATTTGATTCGCGAGAAGAAGTAGAAGTTGGGGATGAACATGCAAGACCTCCGTGAACCAATGAACCTTGCGGATTGATACTTTCTTCGTGAACATACATGTTTAAATTACTTAACTGATCGGTAATTTGGTTTTGCAACTCCCTAAGATACGAGAAAGATACTTATTATACAACCTTATTAAAATAGACTTGAGTTTAAAATTAATCGTAGTCCAACTAACTTGATTGCATTGCGAAGTTCATTCAATAACGAATCCTTGTACGAACACAAAACGGTAAGTTTATCTTTTTCAAGAGTCAAGTATTGCACCTCTAAGTGCCTTTGTCTTGCAAGTTCTATTTGTTCAGCAAGATTTGTTCTCAAATCCGTTATAACTTTTTGGCAGAATTCATGACCCCTAATCTCTTCTTTTAACTCAGTAATTATTTTATCTTTAGCATGAGTTGTTTTCATTGCTTCTTGTACTTCTTGCTTCAATGTTTTTATAGTCGTTTCTAAGTCTAACTGTCTCTCTCGAGCTTCATTCAACATTACAGCTTGTTTATGAACTTGTCTAATATAAAATAGGAAGCATATAACTCTATCCCATAACGATACCAATGCATGATCAACTTTTCACTAAAAATACATACCGCTGGAAACAATCCCGTTCTTCGCGCAATGTTTCACACATTGTATTCATTTTTTTACTTGTTTCTTCCAATTGGATTGTAGTTGCTTCTAATCTTGTACGAAGCGTCATGGCCTCTATATCCTGTTATAAGTAACATTGCTTAAGTACATAACATTTTTAATACTAATTCTTTTTACAAATTTCAATAAACACACCACAAATGATGTTTTTCCAGATTCTGCTGGTATCCTAAGCAATGCTTGTTCCATATCAGTAAAAATTTTACTAGCTTTATCATCTTTTATTAAGTGTTCCAATTCCTTCATTAAAAAACCTAATGTACGAACTGGATTGCATGCACCAAATCTATCATCGCTACAATCAAATATTCCACCACATTGTACTCCTCTATCGACAACTAGAATAGAATCCACAGAACTTGGAACAGACGTAGTAGATGGATTTGTAGTACATGGTGTAACTTTGATTTGTTCTTCTATTCTTTTTTGTGAAGCTGATTGTTTGACAGGAATCTCATCCAAGTGTTTGTTCTAAATATAATCAAGAAAGAAAATATTTGTGATTGAGCACCTTATGAATTTTATACATATAAAATAGTAAGTACTAACTTCATGTCTTTGATGACTTTTAGAATTTTTCTTCATTTCTTTAGTCTCAGTTGCATGTTTTAATGGCTTTGCAGCTGGAATTCGACCAGCTAATTGTTGCAGACTTTGCTTTACAGTTGCTCGATTTTGTTCTCTTAAAATTTGACACCAACCTTGGTGAGAATCACCACTGCTACTGGGTCTTCTTTTCTCCTCTACTGCTTTGTGACTGGTGGGACTGCTGCTAACCATTGTTGATGTACGTTTTCGACCATTTGCTTTCACAGTAACTTCTATCAGAGTATTACAATCATCATATAAAATAATACCTTCTGTAGGTACTTCATGAGAAGGCTATAAAGATATTACACAATTAATGTGATGAAAAATTCATAAACAATCGGGAAAATATCTTAACTGTACATTACCAAATGTTGTTTGCTTTCCACAGTATTTTTTTCAGATCTTGTAGCAACAGTTTTACATGGAGTGTTTGCTTTGCTGCTCATTATGCTAAACCAGTAAAAGAAATGTTTACTCGTTAGATAAATATTTCAATACTTCGACCGATTTTGTATTAAATAAAATTATGGTCAATCTAACCTAACACTTCGTTGAGTTTACATTTATTATAGTATATACATCAGAAAACTTACTGTAATGGTTGTGCTACTTGCCAACATATTTATCCCGGCGCTTACGATGTATCCACCACCTTGCATGTTGAATAATTTACAATAATCATTTTATCGAATTATTTTACGAAAAACTACAAATTCGCAATGGGACACGTGCTTAAAATTAATTTGGAGTTTTCTACTTTCACCTAACAATTCAAACAAATCTATTGAAATTTATGTTACCTTGGCAAATAGTTCTCTTTTTCGTTCTTCTAATTTAATACATAAATTAATTATAAATACATACACAAAATAGTACACTTAGGAATAGGTTGTAAACAAACGTATGAAAACTACTTATTATGATGAATAATTTTTGTTATTGTTACATAATTTTATATCTATTTAAATACACTTTTGTTTACTTTTAAATATTTCCACATGAATAACTTATCCTTTGTTCATATTGTCAATCGAAAGAATAGCATGATTATAGTCAAATAGACAAACTTGAAAAATTACAGTATACCGGCACTAACCTGTAATACCGACAAAATCGTGCTAAATTTTATTCTGACTACAATACGAAATAATGAAGGTTACATATTAGTAAAATAAATGTTACATTTAGTAACAGTATTGTATCAACGATAATAATATACTAATAAGAAATACGAACATACGATGATAAGGATATTGTTTAACTTTATTCGTAGATTTGACTTGCACGAGGTAAGTTCGAAAACAGTTCTGTTTTTATATTGTTTCCCACTTTTTCCTTTTATGTTTTCCTACGTTTCGAATGCACTTATTATTTAAATAACGTAGAATAATATGTAAATAAAAGATTTACTTTTGTAGAAACTATGGATTCATCCAAATCAAGCATATTCTACAACAGCCAAAGAGAAGGTTATAAGTAAGATGAAAATAAAATTTTTTCCGGAAGAAAACAGAATTTTAAAAGTAGCAAATGAAAGTAATAAAAGTGAATTAGAGAAGTGAGTAATTTATAAGTTAACCTAATCAATAATAATAATTGAATTCATTAAATTCAATATTTTATCATAATCTGCACTAGATATGTTTACCCATCAATTGCTAAAAAAATAATAGCACAACGCAATACAAATGGACCTTACAAATCGTTGGACGATTTATTTGTAATAGATGGATTTAAGAATAATGCAATATACACATTTTGTACTTCAATTATCGCAAATAATAGTGGAAAACAATCAAATAGGTACACAGTAACACCTGACATTCAAATGAATGAGGTATAGATATATTCATGTAACTTGCTTTAATATACTTTTATGTGAAAGTCACGTAATTTTGTAAACTAATTCAGATACCAAAAACAGTATTAGGAATTCATGTAGGACCTACCTTGATAAGTTGGTTATTAATAAATCACAACTTTGAAGTGTTAGATTGGAACTTCAAACATTGGTACGATACCAAACTAAATAATTCACATAGCCTAATCACATTGGTAAATATTATAAGATTTATTTTAAGATTTGAAAATCAACCATAATATTTTGATTGATTTTTATTTTTGTCAAAGGTACCATCTGTCGTTGAAAGAATACCTGCAGCTAGTGTTTATATAATGGAAGATGCTCAGCTCATAAGGAACTCAATAGCTAAAAACATTATGCATATTCAACAACAACTATCTGTTTCTATCATGTCTTATCTATCATTGAGAGATAGTATGTACTCTATGTATTATCGTACAAGACATTAATCATAGCGGACGATTGAAATATTAATTTTGTAAATTTGACTTCATTAGGAAAAAACCAAATTGCATCACCTCTGAATAATATATTTATATTACATCCCAATACAACAGCACGTCATTTTAATCTTCTTCTTGGTTCAGAAGTTGTGGCAGCAGAGTATGTTGTAAAAATTAACAATACCAACTGTACTCTTAAGATGAATAGCACAGAATCAATGAATTTATACTTAAACTATGATATATTAGACAGATATATGGAAGGAAACAGCGAGGAACAGGAGCAAATGAGATGGTCTCTTTTGAAGAGTATAACCTTTTTACGCTTAATCGCGATTAGAAACAATTTTAAAGAAGTATGGAAAGGCAAGCAAAACGAAGAAACAATAAAAAATTAATTATGTAATTATTAAATGAAGCAATAAATTGAACGAGATATTGTTTACAATACAATAGTTTCATTTGATGGAAACCTATTCGATGAAAAAAAGTGGGAAGGGGGATTACATTCAGAGTAATACATTGGATGTGTACAGATCCATTCATTTATTATATATTAATTTTCATTATACTATCTATTCATAGTACACTGTACGTCTAATGTTTCTCGCTTCTCGAATACGAACTCGCGTCGGGTAAATAAACAAATAAGTAACGTTTCTTCATAATGGTAACAGTAAACATTGTATTCGTAGAAATACATGTACCATTATGAGCAATTTGAGTAAGTATACGAGAGCAAGACGTCAGAGTAGTGACTATTTCGTGAACATAGTCAACGAATTTGTACGACCAACTAAAAGTACAGGTTTGACAATATTGATGTGCCAAAACTTTTAACGTCAAATTAGGTATGCTCGTCAAAAAGAGAGTAACACCGGTACTTAATCCGGCAGTGATGCTGTGTAAGAAGCATGTAGTAGCTACGTACCATTGTCTAATCGAGTATGGGTAAACACACCGTGTAGTTCTCCATTGTATATATCTGATATTCGCTTCAGTACAATCACATTGAATTCTGTCGATAACACCTTCACATGGCAACAATTTTTAATGAAAAAAAAAAAAAAGAGATCGGTGTTCATTGATTCAATGTAGAAAATTAACGGATAAATATTCCTGGTACTTGTTAAATTTAATTACGTGTGCCTACACTCGTGCGTGCTTTAGACTCGTCTCTCAGTTTAATTAGTAACATTAACAAATAGGAACGAATTGGTAACCGATTAAGCCTATATCCTCTTATATATCTGTACTTGAAAGAACAATTCATATAATGTAACAATTGATTTTCAATTTCTATATTCATCTAGAGAAAAAAAAGAGTCTCATACGCCAGTTGTTAAGTTAAAAATCCGGTTACCACACGATTATCCAATCGCGTATAATCGCATATAATTATCTGTATGAATCGAACAACAGAAGTATCAACTAGTGCACCTTTCCACTTTCATCGCCAATGGACTACAGATTGCTAAACTGTCGTCGGCATGACAGTGCGCGCTATACAATAAATTATATGATTGCACGCGTCACTTTCTATAATGTTACTTCGCAATCGCATCGCTGCCAGGTTAACGCAATTTATAATTATTAAAGTAATACCCGATCAGACCAGCTGGAAACGAGTCTCGACATATATGTATATATATAACGACATATCTAATATATAATTCTGTGTATATATAATATATCTATATGTATATATACGTATGTGCACGTCTGTTTTACGCTACAACACATCGTGAAACGGAAAAAACGTTAAGTACGTTACAATAATTACTATCTTCTTTTTTTTTGTTTGTTTGTTTCTTTATAGTTCACAAACATTTTTGTAACTCGAGAGAGACATCCTTACGTAAGCGTATACGTGTATAAAATCTATCCAGCTTAAAACGTACATCTCTCGTGGACCTCGCACCGGAGCGATATCACCAGCTCGCTCGGACTTGCAATAACGATGCGACTTGAGCATCAACAAATATAACAGGGACAGAAGTGTGACAATCTCGAGAATATTATTGTTGCGATTATGAAAATACGGCTGTTTTGCTCGGTGGACACGCAAAATAGTCGATATGGTTACAACATTAAATGATTCGATATTACAGGGGTATCTCGAAATATATGGCAAAATTCACCGAAAGAAAGAATAAATTGTTCCTCGCTTGAAAATAAGTCGACTTATTTAAACAACAAGAATAATTCAAATCTTCTTTTAGCGATTGTACCACGCAGGGACGCTCTGCATGTTAGTAAACTTAAATCGTCTATGTTTCACGGCTATAACAGCGCAGTTACTCTACCCGATAGCAATTCCTCTCGCATAATACACAAAGCATTCAAATAATTTGCTCGCGAAAGAACGGATTGCAGTCATAGGCAGAAAACGTATAAACGTTAGAATGCTAGTAAATACTCAAAGCCGCCCGGAATAATTTTGCTACACGGCCTATCATCTCGCTGACGGACACGTTATTGGAATTATCTTGTATTTTTCTTTTTGAACTTTCGCGTGCGACAAAGATTAGCAACATTTTATTGGAACAATAAATGACGAATAAAAGTTCTGTTTTTCAAAGAATTTAACAATAATTTGACTTTAACTTTTATAGAACATACAACCAATGGAAAATTGATCATCTTTTATTCGTTATACGAAATTTGTTATCTAGATGAGCAGTTTGCCCATCTTCGGCGTACGGCAGTTCTCATCACTTGCCGAGTCATTCGGCAAAGTCGACGGTCACGTCTTTGAGAACTTTCGCGAGTCACGATGACGTCTCAACGCCTCCACGTTTTCAACCATTCGATACCCTGATAATATTACAATAATATGACTTATTTTATTTAGCGCGTCATCGGATCGTAGACAGCCTCTCTGCAAATTGTACCGGTGCAATTCCATTAACACAAGACGGTCAACGAATTTTGACCGTCGGTCTCATGCACGCATTCTTTTACAAAGTCGCATCGTCGCGGAATCTAAGCCCTCAGCAAAGGACAAACATTTCTCACGCGTTAAATTTACGTTACGTATCTGAAGCCAGCTTCTTTGTATCAATTCCGTTTCACCCGATGGCCTTCTTTCCATGGTAATTTGCGGGGCATTGAACTCGCGCCGTGATCCTTCTCTGCTGCTTCAGACTTCACGGTACGCAAAACGAGAATGCCGATGGATATTTTATCGGTTATATCGCGATTAACATTCTGAGACTTACATACACACGAATATCTGTTAAACATTCATTAGACGAATAGAACAATTCTTCGCTTAGTTAGCTTCGAATCGAAGGACCTAACGGGTCGACACAACATACGAATACAGGACTTTTTTCACTCGTTCTGGTTTCAATATACAAAATATTGTTAATTCCCCTGGCCTGCATGCGACACGCTCTATTCGATAGCGAACGAACCTTCCGTGGAACGTCGCGGTACAACATCGCTGTCAAATTAAGCAAGAACGTAACGAATCGTTGTTCCAATCGCATTAACATGTTTGTTAACCGAAAGGAATATTCCTCGTTTCAGTTACGGAGATACGAGTGCGATAATTATAAGATGATCGATAAATAGGCGTGACAGTTGCATTGTGTGCAGAATTGGGCGCTATTGGGATAATTTCAAATAAATTTTTATCTAGATAAAGCTCTCCGCTCGAATAAAGGACTCTCGAGAAAACGTTAATCGTTACTCAAATAATTTTCTCCTAATTCTTGTCTTTTTGAGCTACACAGAAGTCACATACATAGCGAAGAAATATTTATTAAACGGTTATTTAAATAACAAATAGTATTTGATTCAAGACCCACTTTAATAACAGACTTTCATCCAGATCAAACTTTATTCGTGACTCGTCAATAGAAGTTTCCTCTAGAAAGAGCTTCATTCGTTATCTAGATAAAAATATGCCTCATTTTAATCGTATGAGACTTTCATGCGGTGATATCGGACGATTGTCGATACGCAATCGAGCTGATCGCTTATATTGCTTCGCTTAAAGCATCGGAAACTTGGAGAGAATTTCACTCTCGGGACATTTTCTCTATCACGGAGCGTATTTTGATCTGTTGACGTACCTCCAGGCTATATACTTGGTACAGAGTTTTTGCACGCGTAACAAATTACACAGGTTGGATAAATTGTTTAGTCGCTCAAGATCACGTCTCCCAGGATAAATTTCATCAAGCAAAAAATGTAAACAACTAGTTACCCATTTCGGTTTAAATAAAAATTTGAATTATAACAAAGTAATGACTTTGCAACAAACAAAAATTTCATCATATATATATATACACTCAAATAAAACACTACACGTTAATTTTATTCTCTTTCGTTAGTTCAAAACCACGAAGAAATAGTACATAGCGACGAGGGTTAGCCAAATGATATGGTGGAGATGGTCTTGAGCGATCAATATCTTTCGCCCTCGCTGCGATCACGCGAGCAATAGCGAATTTACCATTGTCTAAATACAGAGACAGTCGAGACGCTACAGACTCTATATTTTTAGTTATTTTATATACTGTTGTTCACTTCGATACACTTGAGGTTTGCCTAACACGGTACACGATCGTTTTACATAAACGATTACAAAGAAAATCGAGACAGAGGTAAGAGTAATAGCACGAGGGAAATAGTTGCAAACTCCGTTGCTCTTTTATAAGGTATTGGTCCGACGCTAAGAGACTGTTTCACTTAGACAGCCATCGTGCGTGCCGGCGTTATAACAGCGCGGTCTTTTCATGGAACGGACATTGATATCGATACACGTGGAAAACAGAAATTGCGTACGAAGAACCCGATGGGTTCCGGTGGTGCACTTTGAGCGCGTCAATCAAAGCGTCGATTTCAGAAATCTAATCAGGGTATAGGTGATGCCTCACGAGTGCATCGATATGATCCTGACAATTTATTCACGCATAAAATTAGTCTTTCTCGGAGCGTTAGCCGCAGCGGGTCTTGGAATATTCGCAAACACTTTGAGCGAGGTGAGAGCAAATATCGATTAGGTGATACGTCGATATTGCCTTTCTCTTATAGCGATTTGCGTTAAATTGTGATAGTCGACGCTTCAGAAGCATATAATTGGCCGCGCAACCCATCAAACTGACTTGGTACACGTTTACTTAGCCAGAAATATTCTTCGCGTCATTCTGGACTAGACTGATAAGAACGAGTCGCGATCTCGTGGACTCGGAGCAGACCACCGACGTGTCCGCGAATTTACATGATCGCCGTTCTCGTTCGGAAGCAAATGAGAAAAGGAACCCTCCGGCACGATGAAGCGTACGTCTTATAATTACGCGAGATTCATTCGCATAGCTTCAGCGAATTAGTTATTTTACCGGCGATTACTTTCAATGATGATGACACGAAACGTACAACCGTTCGGACGAAAATTTCCTGACAACGGTTCATGCAAATGAAGTAATAAATTACTGGCTCGGTCGTCACGCACACTCACACACACGAAGGGCAACACGCAGCACATGTAGAAGAAACCACACGCTTGATTAAAGATACATACAGTACAACTTGAATTGGGTCAACTCTACTTAAGCGTTTACATTTAATTTATCGAATCTTGGCTCCGCACAGATGAGTACTTTGCCTAAATATACTTTTCAATTCGGTGTGCGAGAATAATCTTCCGCCATATATGTATATATATCGCTTCTCTTAATTGCCCGATTCTTCTATTAGACATTAACGATCAAGTCACTCGAGTCGCCGATCGGAACTCCTAGTCGCCCTTAACGATGCAATCAACAGTCAATAATAATCGATCAACCCTATCTTTGGAATGGTTCGATTCCACGATAATCAAGGGTTCTCCTTGTCTTCTTTATCTTTCGGTTATCTGGAAGCTGTCGTAACAAGAAACATCTTTTTGCGTACATAGACCTACGTGAAAGGAATGAAATACTCTGCTGAAAATAATATCACAGCCTGGAGATGCGGCGGAAGACTAAGAACCACGGCTGAAACTTCGCTGAATCCGAGAACGATTAACTAAAAAGGAAAGATGGCACGATCACCAGAATTCGAAACAGGAATTTCCGGCAATGTTAAACATAGCAATCGTTCGTTGCTGCATTCTTACGAACGTGTGAATGCAACGTAGGTATTTCAAAGCGTACGATACGTGTATACTCATCTATAAACAAAAATTCGTGAAAACAAACTTGTTATGCGTCGACAACGGTGGCCTCGTAAAATGATCGACGACGCAACTTTTGCTAGTAAATACCATGCATCATTAATGCTTTTCGTGTCAGCAAAAAACAGGAAATATTTCGTAGACTTTGATCAGTTAAAAAGTTATCAACAATAATTTTAAATTCGACTAAAAAAAAATGTAATTATTAGGAGAACTAAATATCCGTCTATATGTAATATAATGTTGGTTTGTTTTTTCTCAAACGAAATAATTAAAAAATTTTTAGTCCAACATGTAAAACATGACGGTTTTTTAAAATATTTCTAAAGTCGTGAAGATATTTCCCCTCAGTATCGTTGGTAAAACCCTGTTGCTATTCTTGTCATAGTTTTCGTACAGTATACATATACTAGTCTCCTTATCCTTTCCCCGTGATTGTGATATTATTTAGAAAGCTTATCGCTTATAATTGAGTTTCAGTCGCACAGTAAATACATAGTTTCGTAGTAATAAAAATTACATCCGACTGGTCGGCGCGATTGTCGCGAAAGAAACACGACAATCTCACGCGGCCACGAAGAGTGACTAGCATACGCACTTGTTCGCACAACGTTCAAATTAGTTTGAAACCACCTTTCTTCTTTTTCTTTATCACGATGCTAGACGTATATCATACATGTATAACGTGTATCATACACGTGTAACAAAAATAGGTTCATAGGTTCTTTTGGTCGATTCTGTTACCAGGATTCACCGATAAGACACACATGAACGTATCGGAGACCAGAGTGCTCGCCCCATTTCAATCCCAGTGCCGCGTGTAGTTCGAATCAATGCATTTCGTACAGTATCAGTGAGTATAAAGATCTCAGTACTACTCAGATGGATAAAAATTACAAAGGAATTAGAAAAATGTCGCTTTTGCTTGTTTCTTTTTTTCACGCGTCCGCGATAATCATCGTATCCTGCGAAAGATATGACCGCGCACTCGAGTCTGCATTAAGAAGAGGCTTTTATTTCTCATTACTTTTTTCTGACGATAGTACCACACTTTTGAAGATGGTTCGTTTACGAAACAGCACGGTAGATGTAGATGCTGGAAACGACGAATAACACATTGTGGTGATAGAGTACTACTCTTGAACGTATTTAATCAAAAAATGCACTATTCTTTGATTGAAAATGTATAGCGATGTGCGCTACAGCAAGCGTCTCTATTTCAAATTGTAACAAATGATGATAGATGATAACAAATATAAATAATACAGAAATATAATGATTCAACGCAATCTGTTGTGCGTGTCTATAAACAATTAAATAAACGGATGTTGTATTGTGCGCTACATAAATATATGTATACGTCTCGTAATACTTTCTCGTTAACGCAAAAAGCAAATCGTAAAATTAGGAACATGGGAATTAGGAAAATTATCCTGTTAAAGTTATAGAAGAAGTGCTTTCTTCTCAGGCATTATTATGTAAATATTAGACGGAACGTGTGACATTTGAAACAATATACTCTCTTACGTTTTCTCCATTAACAATGGTATCATAGATACTAGTAATTGCTCTAACTTGCCTGTCGTGCTCCTGCCCTTTGTATTTAATTTAATTCTCCTAGCATAGCGTTATAGCTATGATTTCATCGTAGAAACACACACCGAACGTCAGGATCTCGAAATGTGTATTTCCGTTCTTATCTTTTAGTACAACTAAATTTATATTTTCGTACTAAGTTAGCAATAAAAACTCTCCTTCAACATCGCGAAGAAAATCATAATGTAAGATACACCATTGGTATTTCAATTTTTGTCTTGACCAGAAAGATCATCGAAGCACTTGTACCAATTTATTTTATTGATATTTGCGTTAAAGCGGAATAATGCTCTCGAAATGTCGAGTATAAGAATAGAGTACCATAAAACGTACATTATTTGAAAACTGCACGAGTCTGTCGATACGTTGCATCATCCGAGTATTTTTTTTTTTTTTTTTTTGAGAATACTATTTTGTTACTCAGATTACTATCTTGTATACGATCGAGCACATGACAAGATAGGGTAATATTTCACGATCTGATGCAGTCTTAGAGAGTTCAGTGCCGTTATGCGAATACGAATAGTCGAGAGAAGCCTATACAAGTTTTCTTTTTTTATCCGTCAGTGTGTGTCATAGGTACAAACTTGGTAACTATTAACGACGATCCTTACTAGTACACGTCTAAGTGAACAGTCATTACGAAAGTCGACTTGAGATGATAACTTGAAACACGCGGATGAGATTCATATAAGTGGGTGGTACAAGTTTTTGTGTTCATCTTACATTACTGTACGAAAGCCGTGTCTTTAGTACAGCAGTGCATCGTATCACTACTTATGGACAGTTCATCGGATATCGGTAACGTTAGCTTTGCTGCCAAAGATTTTGACTAGCTGATCCTCGTAATCGTCGATATTACGCTTCATGAGTTCCATACAAGGCCCAAGTAAGCGTTCGAAAGCTTCAACGTCCAGAACTGAAAAAATAGTTTGTCAATATCATGTGTCACAAAACTGCGTTTCATCAATTGCACATATACACAGTCATCCACACACTTGGGATACTAATTTCTCATTATTTTTTTCTTCAAAAAACCAAAGCCAGTTAACCGAAGGAACTTAAGCAAGGTCTGCAAGGCCAGAATCTTCTTCAAAAGACAACTCTCTCGATACATTTTGTCTACTTTGATACAGAACACGGGTTTCCAAAAATAGAATTTTTCTTTTCCGTTTGTTAACGAACATATGTTTGGCAGTAACCTAATACCATGTACAGAAACATATTGAAAGAGTACTCACAGGCCAGCTTTACGTCGCCTACAGCGTAGGCCGAAGCAGCGCGAGGTTTATGTGTCACGAGCGCCAACTCGCCCAAGTACCCACCAGCAGGGACTCTATTAATCTGCAGCAGCAAATAGAATACCAAATGACATTTATACAATTGACAGTGTAATTAGTCCGCTAGTCTCTTAACACGCACGGTAGTAGTAGCAGACTCGTCGTACCAAGCAATGGACGTCAACGTACCTCTATCTCGCGACCGTAGTCTCCGAGTATAGTAATCCTAACGACGCCGTCTTCGACGAAGTACATCCCGTCGGCAGTATCGCCCTGCCTGATTATCTGTTCACCGGCCGAATACTGTTTTGGTACTAGGGCGTCCGCCAAGTTCATGCGCTCGTAAGGCTAAAGAGAAATAACGTTTAATCGTCGAGTAATAATCGCATTAACTCATGAACCGTTTCAACTTCTTCAGGTTTTAGCATCTTCTTGTCACGATATTGTCGTGTTAAATATTTACTATACTATACTTTAAATAGTTTGTTCATATACCCAAAAATGCTAAAGATATTTAGGTAATCCTATTTACGCAGTCCATTCTGTATATATCCTGCATAATACCGTATTACTATATTGCGCAAAACAATCAAGGGTTTGCAAATCATTAGTGTATAAAATAACAGGGATGAACATGCATTTAATCCTCAATTTGCGAGAATTAAATGCACGATTTTGACTCCGATAAATAAGGTAGATGAAATATACGTTAAATATACCATTGTAGAAAATTGCTAATACGAATCAAATCCGGTTCAACATTTCTGGCGATTAAACGTCTTTGGATCTCGCCCAAAGTTCATCAACGGCTATAGCTAATCAAGTACAACGCTTTCAAATGTTGGCCGACCCCGTCTTTCCAATTGATTCTAACTCGCACGACTGAGACTTTGGAGTCGACCATTATATTCCTATGAAAAGCTATTTCCATCGGTCTTACCTCCAGAGACTTGAGCATCGGGACTTTGTTGATGAGGTCCTCGTACATCTTACGCTTCTTGTAGGCGGATTTCAAAAGAATACGTCGGAAAGTTTGCCTGTCCATGGCCCACAATGTACCGCACGTGACGGCCTTTATAGTGGCCGCTCTGGGCATTTTGTACAGAAGAGCGAGCTCTCCAAAAGCACCGCGGTTATCGTACATGTGTATCATGGATTCAACGCCCGTCTGCGAATCTTTGACGTACACCTCGAACTTTCCCCTGAAAGAGCAATGGAACAAAGACTAGCGATCCACTTTTCGGTTCATCGAATAAGGTACAATTGTCTCACTGGAAGATTGTTTCGAACGCCAACTTCTCTCGATAATTTTTAACGATAAAAATAAAAAGCATCGCAAACAATTACTAATTCGAAATAAAATATTAGTAAACAGTAATGTATTTTAAACTACGATCACGATGTAGAATGTAATATTACCTCTCGATGACGTAGAAATTGTCACCGTCGTCACCTTGTCGAATAATGAATTCTCCCGGCTGTACGGTTTTCTCGAACATCGCGTCCAGCACGTCCGCCATTTGTTCCTGCGAAAAGAATTCGTGCGATGCTCGTGTACGCGTGCCGTGAATATCTTAAGACTAGGTATCTACTGTCTTCCAGCGTTCAAGGACACCGACAACAATTGTCACAATTCCAGCGAAATTTCAAAAAGGGAACAGTAAGTGCACTCTTACGTAAACTTGAGTGTCTGTTACATTAATTAGTTTCGAAAGAATCCGTTCGGAGTTATTAGGAACGCGTGGAAATCGAGCCAAGGATGAACGATGTCGTAAGAGGACTTCCTCAGGGTTGCAGACCTCGATTCATGAGAATTTAGGAATTTCAGAGTAGGTCTAGGCATATCTTCTAAATTTCTTCCGAGGATATACAATTATTAAATTATCGAATTAATACGAAAACTGTACGCGTTATTATTTATTATAAAGAGGTCGAGCCCTTCGGGTATATCGAGATACAAATACAGTGTACGAAAGGAAAAGAAGAAAAAATAAAAAGTGAAGATTGCGTTACGGATAATAAAATATTAAAAATAACGTGAGAGGCGTGGTGACGATAATTGGAGGTTTATATCTGTATCAAGTTAGTTTGGCTCTCTTGGATAGGTCTCCCTCTGAAACTGAATCCCAATTGAGTAGATTACACGTATTCACTGGCATTTCCAAGAGTTGGCGCAAACTCTGGTCGATCTGTATTTTCGTTTCAATTACGAGCAGAGCGGAGTACGTACTATGTTTAACTTACCTCGTCTAGGGCCCGAAACAGAAAATTATTCTTAACGCTGTCGCTGAGCCTCTGCCGTTGCTCGTCGCTCTTCGGATGCACCATCTGCAAACGATGAATATCAACGTTAGTATCAAAGAAGACCTAAGCAATTACTTATTCGGCCAAATTGCGCATGACAAATTATGCGTATCCGAGGGTGTGTAGTTAAGAACTAAACATACTTTAATTTAAATTCCAATTCTTGTTCTGTATTTGTGAAAATATGAATTTGCATATACGTCCACGGTCTATTAATAAAAATTCCAATCACGATCAATACCATCACGAAAAATGATACCTTGTAGCATAAATTATAATACGTAGTACAGATTAAATAATAATACACAACAAACACGATGGACGATACGCGTAATGTAAATAACGAACAATACGAACAGCGTGTGTGGCAAATGACCCGTATAACGAGTAATACGAGAATGAATAATCAACAACGCAAACAATCATCCGAATAACAGGAATCTGAAAATATTACGAGGAATTATGATCGTCGCGTGGCACGCGTCGATATTATAAATTAATTGCAGCGTTATCGATCGAAAACCTCAGGCCTGAACACATCTCCGTTATATAAAAAGAAAGGGTTTCCCATTAGATACACGTGAATAGATTATACAGCACGGTAAGTTTAAAAAAATAAAGAAGAAAAATCGAACTCCTTTACGATCTTACGTTCCGTTTATCGCCAACCTCCACACGTACACCTACACTACGAAAAGTAAATCATAATTTCGAATTACGAGATGAGCGAAACCGGAGATTAAACGACACCGTAAAACCTCTGTAATCGATTACGTAGGAAACCGATGTATCAAAGAATTGTTACGACTCAGCCTGCAGATGTTACGAATCGCGATCTGCTTTTTTTAGAAATCCAAGGCAGGGATAAACAAAACTGGTCGAATTTCGCTTCACGTTCTGTGACCTTTCCATTCGACGCAGTCGTGCTTAAAGACGATAATCAGTCTTCTTTTGTTTCCATTGCGGTTTTTTTGCGGATAAAGTCTGATACAATTTAAGTTCGAAAGGGAATTGAAACGATCACGAAAGTCGAGCTTGCGGTGGACCTTTAACTCTAGTTGCTCGTCTTTTCGAGCAACAGTTACTGAAAACGTCTCTTGCTGACCTACAACTTACGTTACGCGTTCTTGTTCTCGGAACAGGGATCTCAATTGATTCATCTACATCTTAATCTACATCTACATCATAATATTCAATGCTAGTCGAACGCATCGTAATTAACATCTTGAACCGCGCAAAGTTACTCGATGCATACGCGGTACGTAATAACGTAACCCTGGATCGTAGGAAACTCTTGCTTGACTCGATGAATTTCGGGTACAGAGCATTTAATTGAATATCGATCGCTGTGCGCAGCCTCGATAAACGTGAGCACGTAAAAAATCGAAAATTATAACGAAAGTGTGTTTTCAAGGCTTCGTCCTCCTATTTACGTTGATAAATTGTGTTCGTCGTTAAACGACACGGGGTAGTCTATCGGAAATAGACGCGAGATTGTAACCCTGCGGTTAAAAATACGAGACAAAAGTTAGATCGGTGTTTTCCAAAGTAGGGGGTGCGACCCTTGCGGAAGGCAGACCTTATAATCGAAACGAAGCGCAGAGAAAACTTGTACCGTAAAAGAAGATGTATACAACTTACATATGTTTTTTCTCAGTAAAGTAAACGAGGTTATTAAAGTTTCCGTAAGTGGCACAACTAATCTTTCCTTTGCGAGATTAAGGATGCACGTATATCGAAATTGAATATAATTTACCCATATCGTGTCCGTATCGTACCCATACCCTGATCCCTTTGGAAAACCATATGGCTAGCGAAAGAAAGAATATGTTCATTGTATTCTCCCCCGCATCTTCGCGACTATCTCCGACGGCAATGAATTTAATCAGATGGTCGGTTTCTGACAGTACACCGTATAGGTTTTGTCGTTGCTCTTCCGATCAGTTTTAACGGCTCAAGTTCCCGATAATCGAGATCGACGTTGCTTTTGAAATGCTTTCGAGCAGTACGATCCCGATCCCACGAGCCTTACCCGTGTATCTCCTCTCTCTATCTCTCTAATTCACAAACACACTCACGTGCGCGTATGTATATTACACATATGTAAGTCACGTCGGTAGCAGGTTATCGAACACGCGCTCTGACGTCACAAAGGTACATCGTTCGCATCGTCGAGCAAAGTAAATCATCCCGTTTCGTCACCCGCGCAGCCTGAATACGGTGGTGTTTCGATAGGGAAGGATAAAAATGTTATTTTCTATGTTTCACGTATGCACGCGCCGACCTATTCGACGTACGTGTATTCGGATGATAAAACTTGGGCCCCCAGAGGCAACGTTTTCTAGAAACAGCAGTAGTTTCGCCTGTTACGATCCGCTTTTATTATTTAAAGGAATTATACGCCATCAATATTTAGCTCTTACACGTAGTGGCACGACTAGCAATTTCAAAGATATAGAGCAACATTTTTTATATTTATATCTGTAAGTAGAATGTTTTTTACATTCCGTAACATACAAATATCGTTTCCGTGTTTCAACCTACCGGAAAATAAAAGGATTTTCTTTGATCCCTTCGCGATTCAAACGTATTTAACGTGAAGGGATAACGTATGTCGGCGTGTTTTTCCGAATCGTTGATGTTCTCAATGTCAGAGACACGATTCTCGCCCCCTCTGTGACCGATTAAATTGCATCAATCGATTATCGATTTGATACACGCAGCTTTCGTTCGAAGATGGTACTGACAACATGATTCCTCGCGTAACGGAACTAAAATCGAAGTACTCACGATAATAAATGTATGGGTATTGCAAAGGATTGATGAGCGTTGAACGCAAAGATGTTGATAATCGAAACAAGTACTCGTCAACGTTACCTTAGCTCCATCGTCTTCCTCGTCTTCCTCAGGATTGTACGCTTCCGTAAAGATACTCTTCCTCCTTGTCGCGAACCTTCCGAGCGGCGGTTCTGTAACGAGCGAAATAACCTTGAGTACGTCATTTAAATCACTCGCGATCGCAACGTGTTTCCTTTTTCGTTAAATAATTTCCGAGGATCTATCAAGGTCCAACGATTTATCAACCTGGCAATAATAAACAGAGCGATATTGCAAATAGAGCATATGCAAAGTGTTCAAACAACGATGAATAATTTATAAGAAATACGCGTATAATCGAGAGGAAAGAATCGTACCGATATCCATCGATGCGCGTGTATGGAAATTTGTTCACGAAACCGTGAGGATCGCTGACACCGGTCGAATTTCACAATGACAAACGAAAGGGTCGAATTTCAAAATCGACGCGATAACACCGACGGTGGGCTAAAAACTAAGCGGCAGGTTGCACGTATCGCTCGGTTGCGAGAGGAATACTCGACGCGATGGGAAGTCGCATCTCGAATGAAAATTCACTCGCTCACCTTCATCGACAGACTCGTCCGGCGTAGAGGAGCAGGTCTGCGCAGTGAGATGAATCAACTGAGTCTGACGGCTTTCCCGAAGTTGCGTGAAAAAACCTATCGCATACTCGATGATATCCACCGGTTGCTCCAGCAAATAGCTGATCGTGAACTCCAACAGAATGTCACGCAGCTCGTCTGGCACCGTGATCTTGCCAGCGTTGCGTTGACAACTCATTTTTCTCCCACCGAAACGATCTTCGTCGACACGTTACAATGGCATACGCCGGTAACTAACGGTCCGGCCGATGAATCGCGAGCTGGTCTATTATCACCACTCGGTCTAATCAACCCACAACTCGATGTGTCACTTGTCAAAACGTCCAAAAATTTCTGTCACGTACTTACTGCGCTCGCGAGGCCAGGAGAACGTAAGCCCCACACGTAACGTTCGCTCTTCGTGCTGGGCTACACTCTCGGCGAAGCTTGAAAGCTATCCGGTCTCACTGAACCGCTTTACCCGTTTCGTCACCAATTTTCAACGATTTTTTTTCTATCCGACACAACATAAAGCTGCGCGAACAATACGACAGACCGAATCGAGGGGATGCGACTCGGTCGCAAAGATGGCGACTATTTCACGGCGCGGGTCTTGACATTAACAGAGGGATCGTGTTGAACATTTAACTGGCGAACTGTAGCCAAATCGAGCACTATTGGACGACCTCGATAATGCGGATCGTAGACCAATAGTGAACTTTACGCAGTCGTTGCACAACACTACTACTTTGGCGGAAATGCACACAACCATTCAACCAATGAAACTATTGCTCTTTGATGCAACGTTATCTATATCGGTCCTCTTATTGGTTGACGAACCGTTCAAATTCCGACATAATTCGTGTACATACGAAATTAAATACATTATTTAGTACGATATCTGTAATATTAAATAAAATTAAATTAAAAATAACGATGCATTAAAAATGTACAGGCCCGATTCTCAAGTCTATTTTCAATACACTCCATGCTCTGCCCCCTACAGGCACTCGTGCCAAGTAGTTTCTACTAATCTACGACCTGCACGCAATTCTAAGTTTAAATTGAAATGTTTTCATCCGTGACGTTAGTACGTCATAATAACACAGAATAACACGTGCAAGTTGTAAGTCAATAGTTAGAGTAATGTTATAAAGTATACAATGATTTGCAATTTACATACGTAACAAGTACTCGTCGCGCATGCACATCGATAAAATAGTAAACCTGAATTGTTTTTTCATATCTACTCGTTAGTAATAAAAACGAGAGAATATCACCTTACTTTCTATAAACAAGTATTCAAAATAAACATTCGGCGAAAATGGCGGGAAAGGAACAGTTCGATGAATTTCTAGGTGGATCTCAAAAGTTACCGAACGAGGTACACATTAAAAAACTTGTTTCTTCGAGAGCCAGCGAAATTGCTGCAATGACGTATTCTATTGGTATGTCGATCGATGCTTCGTTTCATGCATTCGGAATTGCGATACAAATATATTTTTACAAGACAAGAAATTCTAATTTAGCCTTAATATTTTTAAATTTACAGAGAACCCTCAACAAACGAAATTACTATTTCAAAAGCTTCCGGTATATATGCGCAGACGAGTAATGTCTCATAACGCGAAACGTTTGCCGCGCAGATTACAGGAGGCACATTTAAATCAAATGACTAAATCTGGATTGCCGCCCAAAACTAAAAGACCGTCGCGTAGGTATCGAAGACGACCACGTAATTTACTTTTGGAATACAATCGAAGGCAAAGAAACAAAATTTGGTTAGAGACCCACATTTGGCATGCCAAACGTTTTCATATGGTTGAAAAATGGGGCTACAGAATCGCGAGTCACGCGAACGACAAATGTTTTAGGGCCAACTATCGCGCTGTCGCGAGACATTGCTTGATGCAGGATATTTCTTATTACACATGCATCGAAATATATGGCCCAGAAGTAGTTCTAAAGGAAACCTTGAAAGACCATTGCAATCCACTCGAATTAACGTTCGTCGCAAAGATTTTTATTAGCGCCGCTCGAGAAGGGACATTAATGTTTTTTAAAAAGAACGGCTACCCTCAATCTCCGATCGGTTATGTCCACTTCCTGTGGAGACCAAGTCATTCTGATGTAAGGACGATCTGGATTTGGGTACATCCATCGTTTCTTAATGATTTCATCGTAGAAATTGTATCGAGTTTCGAGTTCAAATCTGACGACGCTGATCCTACTTTTATGAGCAATCAAATCACAAAATCCTACTCATATGTTAACAATAAAAATTGTAAAATGATTATCCATAAGAATACTTTAAATCGATTTCGATTTTATGGCCCGTTATCGATAAGCATCTTAACGAACGTTTTGCGGTTGCCGAATTTTGATGATAAATTTTCTTCGATAACGAATGATATAAATGTAACGCCATTCGAAAATAACCAGATGGATTGCGACGAAGAGTTTCAAGATTCTAATAAGTCATGGCATATAGAATATTATAACAATCGAGAAAACATTGAATCTTTGAAACTTCAAAAACAGCTGTGGCAAACGTTAAAAACGCTACAGTCACCTAGTCAATTGCCACCAAATATTGTTCTTGGATTTACAGTCTTAGATCCAAGGTTTCATCTACCCGAGAAAAGGTTGAAGCCGCGAAATGATATACGGGTGGCTGAAGTAATGCCAATGCCACCTACAAACGCGAATTCTAGTCCAATTTGGGAACAAGAGATAAGACAGAAAGTTAGCAGGGCATGCGTAACTATGAGTGCAGTTAACAAGCTCAGGAGCGAGTGTTTAGTTCCTGGTATAGACAATGATAAATACTTCAATGAAGAAATTATGACCAAGATTCCCATATTGCTAATTCAGAAACCTGGGATTGGTAACACAGGTACTTTTAAATTCATAAATGCTTCTAACTATAAGATATTTAGATTAATACTAATGTTATTTTTATAGGTTTAGGTTCTGCCATAGATGTCATTCTTCCAGCAAGTTGGGCAATGCCATTCTGGCTTGCATGTGTATTCCGTTGCGTGAGAGTTGGTGCACTAAGAGAATCAAAGTCTATCGCATTCGAATATGGACAAATGAAATCACCAGACATAAACGATCCAGATACACCTGCTTATACAAGGGAAGCATTGAGTACTAAATTAGAATTGAAAGAAAAATATCTTCGCTATCCACCGAACAGGCGTGTAAATTTTACAAAGCTTGGAATTTCTAGTCCCTTCTTCTGTGAATGGAAAATTCTAATGAAAGAATGGACGAATGTCGAAGATTTTTTTGTGTTAAGAAATCGAACGTTATTGCAATCATTACAAGTAAATTTATTGCACGGAGAAGTAAATCAAAATAAATACAAGAAATCAAAGAACTATATACCAAACCCTAATCTGAACAATCTATTTGAAAACAGAAACTGTTTAGTTCGCGTTAAAATAACCGTTTTACAAAAAGGGTGTCCTAGAAGATTCGCGTTAATATGCATGCCAAAAATAGAAGATGTTAATAAATTTAGAGGCAATAGAAATTGGTCAGGTCCTGTGGAAAAACTAAATCATGACTCGAATGAAGCTGCTAGAAAAATATTGAGAAAAAAACATTTATCTCTTTTGAAACGTTTAAAAAGACAAAGAATACGTCATAGAAATGCATTAACTAATAAAATAGATCAAATAATGAACCAAAACTTTCAAATCTTGAATCATGAAAACAAAGCAAAGAAATTATTAGAAACAAGTCGTGAGGTTGTATATACACAATCCCAAAAAATGTCACAGTTGGTTCTTCCTGATTGTGTCCGTGTAAAACATTCTTGTGACAGAGAAATCATGGGATACATAACTGCAGCTGATTTTTCCTTTGCAGAAGCAAAAGGTATAGGTTTTGGATATGTAACATTAAATGCGATAATTGAATTGATTAATAAAATGTATACCTTTGTCCTTGTCAGAAATACTCAAACAAGACAATATAGAATTGCTAGAGTAGAAATAGCAATTTAGTAAAATAAAAATAATTTCATAACATTGTTTTTTCTTTTATTGTCCTTATGAGTACTAAAGTATTTTGAAGAATTATTAAATATTAAATATCTACATAAAAATATTTTCTAAAAGATCAACTCTGAGTCAAACCTTACAGAAAAAGAACTGCATAACAATTTGAAAAAATATTTGCTTTCAGATAAAAGTTATTTTTAAAAAATAAATGGTTAAGAAATATATGTAATTTTATCTTGTCGGAATTGAAAAAAAATACGATTACGGATGCGGTTACCAGAGCGATAAATATTGATAAATATAGGCTATATAACTTCGAGCTTCAGTCAGATGTGATAAGATGTATGTATGTGCCGCATTTACACAGATTATACTAAACTTTACTCGAATATACTACTAAACTAAACCACTAAATTAGTGACGGTCATCATAGTTGCAGCTACTTATTTTTATTTTTATATAAAATGAAGCGTGTGGCTGTTGTAAGTATATGCACATATTAGAGATTATTGATTATAAAATATATATTTCGATGAATTTATTGTTCAAACCATTTCTATAAGTGTATCATAATGCTTTTAATTACATCGAACATTTAGGTAACCGGAGGAAATAAAGGCATTGGATTTTCCATTGTTAAAGCTCTTTGCAAACAATATGATGGAATCGTATATTTGACAGCTCGCAATACAACCCTAGGTTTAAATGCTGTAAAGCAATTAGAGGAAGAAGGTTTAACACCAAATTTTCATCAACTTGACATTACAGATGAAAGTAGTATTATAACTTTTCGCGATTACTTGCAAAAAACGCATGGACGATTAGATGTGCTAGTCAACAATGCCGCGATTGCATTTAAGGTAATTACAAAATAATTTTATTTCCTTGTTTTCTTAAAAAACATAATGCATACTTATTTTTACATATGTAGACAAATGCTACAGAACCATTTTCCTTGCAAGCTGAAGAGACACTAAGAGTAAATTATTTCGCTCTTAGAAAAGTGTGTAGCATATTGTATCCACTATTGAAACCACATGCACGTGTGGTACATGTTTCAAGTTCTAGTGGTCTTCTATCATTAATTCCTAGTGAATCATTAAGATCACGATTTTCTGATCCAAACCTTACAGAAGAAAAACTGGATAGCCTAATGCGTGAATTTGTTGAGTATGTTGAAGTGCTACAAATTTTATATGTAAAGTATTTGATATTTTAAGCATTCATTAAATGTAAACATAAATGAACTTTCAGTGCTGCAAAAGCAGACAAACATGTGGAAAAAGGTTGGGGCAATCGTGCTTATACTGTGAGTAAAGTAGGAGTCTCTGCTCTAGCTAGAGTTCATCAAAGAATGTTTAACTCAGACTCAAGAGAAGATCTTGTAGTAAATGCTGTACACCCTGGCTATGTTGACACTGATATGACTAGTCACATGGGAAATTTGACACCAGATCAAGGTGCCACAGCACCTACATTCTGTGCACTATTGCCAGAAAATACAGACATCAAAGGTAAATATATTTGGTACGATAAATCATTGGTCGAATGGACAAAAGATACATAAACATCCAAATTGTAACAATATAAATATTTCTTGTAGTTGGTTAAAATATAAATAATAAAAATTATGATTTTTTAGTTTTATACGTAAATTCACTTTACATACTTATAAATACAAAAATTCATATTTTATATATTCAGTGTGTATTATTGTTAATTTCCATAATAAAATTGAAATAAACAACACTTCCCAACTTAAGAATATTATCAACTATCTTGCTTGAACTGCTGCTTCTTTTCGTGCAGCATCCTGCAATAGTTGAGTATCCACTTCGTCTCCTGGTAACTGTACATAGCGTACTACCGATCCTCGAATAAAACAATTTTTTACTGACAACTGAAATATAATATATATTTTCTGTTATCAAGTTTCCTCTCATAGAGTTTTAAAAATTATTAATGATACAAACCATATGAGGGTATTTATCTGTATCTGCTACACTTATGTCTGTTAACTTTATATTCAAGTATTGATCAACAGAGTGTAGAGTACCGCAAATGCTAAAAACAAAATAGTCTCGTTAGAAGTTTTCATTAAATATGACGCATTTTTTTTTTATGAACTTACCTGAGATCATTCTTCAATTCTACAACAACATCCTTACCAACTAAGGATTTAAAAAACGAATAGAATAACTGTAAATATTACGAAAATAAAATTAGTTTGCTTTAGCAAAAACAACAAAACTAAGGTTAACCGGCCAAAACTGAAAACCGTAGACTTACCATTCTTGGAAAAATACAAATATATTTAGTGCTCTCTTGTCTTCTAATTATATTATTTACATAACAGAGTGCAATAAATATACGATTGAGATCGAAGTTTGTTTCGATTAGCAGCTAAAAATTGCAGTAATGACAATTTGTTTGGAAATGTCACTGTATGCGTTATTGAGTTTAAATTATGGACGTTAAGTTCGATATTGCGTTTGATTGGATCGCATCACCCTGACGCAGAATAATTTTATTTATATTTGCTATCGATCGCTATGTATTTACGAAGATAATTGCAAATAAAAGATATTAATCGAAAGAATTTGATATGCTATATAAAACATTTTTGTTTGCATTAAGTTTTTCAATTTGCTCGTGCTTCTATCGTGATTGGAGGATCGTCTATCGGTACGTAGAACGCCACCAATCGTTCTTTACACGTAATCGTGAAGAATATCATCAAGGTCGGCTTTTCAATAAAGTTTTGTCAAAATATGTTTTAGTGTTCTTTAGATCTCGTACTTATTTGTGTAATTTACAAAGAATTTCGTTTAATAACTCGTAAAATGTTTCAAACGTGTCATCTACTGAAGAAGATCACCGTTTTGCGGTTGGTAACAGAAGGGCGTTGACATATAATCTAAAAGGCGAAACGAGAAGATGCGTCTGTGACATTAATTCGCCAGTAGCAACTCGATCGGATTCGTTGTTACGGTTAATCTTTTATAAACTAATTGAGAAACATGTCAATTAATTTAACGAAAAACAAAGACGCTTTGGTAGCTGCTTGGCACAGCGTAGTCGACGACAAATCGTCTACTAACTGGTAGGCTTTCATCTCTTTCTTCACTGTTACATTTTTCTCGTCGCGGTACAGCATTATTGTCACACTACTAGCAAACACAAATGTTCAATTAAAATTATGAATAAATCGCATTCCTATAATCAATATCAACCTCTTTTGTCGTTATCGCAAGATATAAATAGCGTGAGATATGTAATTAACATTTTCTGTCATAAAACATACTTTGTAGCTTTCAGTTGCATTGATTGATAACTGAACAGATTTTTAAAGAGAAAATTCCATGTTGCTTTTAAGTTAATAAAAATGTTATATGCTTAAATTCATCTTAATATCAATGTTGTGTTAAATGTTATAAGCAATAATGTTACACATTAATTTTTTAAGAATATATGTAATTAAGTGTTTATCATTATTAATATTCGTGTCATACACAGGGCTTTATTCGGATATGAAGGGCAGACTAACAATTTAAAGGTTGTTGCAACAGGAACTGGTGGTGTGGAAGAATTAATTGATCGATTAGACAGTAGTTATATCATGTATGCCTTTTGTCAAGTAATAGATACTAAAACAACCCTGCCAAAATGTCTTTTAATAAATTGGGTAAGAATTTAAAAATAAGAATCATAGAAGTATTATATTGCTCTAATCAAAATATGTATTACAGCAAGGAGAAGGTGCACCAATAGTTAGGAAGGGTACTTGCGCAAATCATATTAGAGATGTAGAAAAATTACTGAAAGGTGCTCATATAACAATTACCGCTCGCTCTGAAGATGACGTCGAAGTAGATTTTATTATGCAGAAGCTTGCCAGAGCAACAGCTTCTGCATATAAATTTAACGAGCCACGCGGCGAGAACGAAGGTAACGCGGGTCCGGTTGGTACCACATATCGCAGGTATGTATCATACAATTCACGACAAAGGGACTAGATATCTAAACATAAAGATAACATATGTTGCAGAGTAATCCCAGAGCAAGAAATAAATGCCACCGAACGCGATCAATTTTGGCAAAAAGAAGAAATGGAGGAGAAGAAAAGACTAGAACAGGAACGCACGAAATGCGAGCAGGAACGTCAAAGACTCGAAGAAGAAATTAGAGCTCGAGAAGAAAAAGAAGCTCTGCTTAGAGAACAAAAAGTAAAGAAATATTGCAAATTTAAATCGTATATTTATCGCTACATATTTCATTAACGGAATTTTGATACGTTTACAGGTCACTGCCAAAGAAAACTCAATAGCACGGCAGAAAATGGCAGAACAACGCGCGGAGGAAGCCAACAATTTACGTAATCAAATGGCAGCAAGTCAGCATTTTAGTAATGACGTTGATGATAGTCATAAGTCTCGAAGCGAAGAATTGCGACGGCAAAGAAGTAAAGAAACGCAACAGTTAATAGCTCAAAGAACGATAAATGCTCGCGCAGTTTTTGAGCAAAATTCAGCTGCCGGTCAAATGAAGTCGTCATCGGTACAACAATTCGTTCAGAAAAACAGCCACGTGGAAGCAGCTAAGAAAGCTCTTGAGGAGAATCAGCAGAAAGATCCACCTCAGACTAAAGTAGAGGAAGAAGCGAAAGTTGAAGTGAATACGACACATAACTTGGATTCGGTAACAGATTCTGTTTCGGTTACACCCTCGGTTCAAACCCAATCTGTAGAAGCAAAAGTGGCCGATCCGCAAGAAGAACCCGAAGAATCATTAGCGACGAAAGAAGTCGTTACCGAAAATGAATTGTACAGCCAAATGGATGGTCAGTACTTATACTTTGATCCAAACAACGAAGGAATGACAGCAAGGGCGCTATACGATTATCAAGCAGCCGACGATACAGAAATTACTTTCGATCCTGGAGACATTATTACGCACATAGATGCTATCGATGAAGGATGGTGGCAAGGTCTTGGACCTGATGGAACTTATGGACTTTTTCCAGCTAATTATGTTGAAGTTATCGAGTATAACACGACATGATAAGAAACACGCTTGTAAAAATAGACTACCTTTGTTTCCGATCGAAAGAAAACCGTGCTTGCTTGTTCGTATACGAAAAAAGTGATATTCAGTATTTTTCATTGTTACAGTGACTTTGCATTTTCCTTTTAACACAGAACGTACAATTTTAAGTATTTAGATATCATGTATTTCGGAGAATTGTGCTCATTCATAACAAGAGAACTAATTATGTTTTGAAGACGACTGCACACATTAAAGAAGGAATTTAATATTTCTAATAATAATCACGCAGTAAATAAATATTGTTAATATTCTAGCGGACAAGATTTTAAACTTTAATAGTGTCACAATGCCAATACATACACAAATGGCGAAGTACGTCTTCCCATGTTTAACGTTTCGAATGAAAAATAAATTAGCCGTAAACGAATATATCTTTTTATAACATTCTCTGACGAAAATCGATGCGATCATAGGAATAGCGTATTTAATAACTTAGCAAAATACCCTTGCATTTACAAAATGTAATAACTACTTATTTAGGAATATGTTTAATTCTTTAAACAATAAATACTTAAATTTGTTATAGTATCCAATGGTATTTTAGTCAGCAACGTCCATCGATTTGATGAAATTTTTATTACAGAAAATGATGTCAATTTTATTTTATAAATATCTTTACTTTATTTTACATGTAATAGATCTGGAATCTGTCTATTAAAACGGTTTTATTAATCTTACGTTACCATACGATATAGAAATCTTTACAAATGATCTTATCGAATTAAAATGGAATCACAATATCAATGTTACAGAAGTAGAATCATCTGCGATAATTTTGATTTTGACTTCCGCCCCCGCTACCTCCTGCATGACTTAAAAATGCTAAGTGGCCTTTCGGACATTTGTTAGCGTAGTGACCTTTAGTTCCGCATTTGTAACAAGTAACTTCTTCGAGTGGCTTTTGAGGTCCTCGAGGAGGCGGCCCGTTATGCATATTCATGTGATGCGCCGAATGAGAATTACCTTCTATTTCTTGCCTAACTTGTGCTTCGCGTACATCGGGCGGCATTTTATTGCAGTATATAGCTTTATGACCGCCTTCCCCGCAAAAATGACATGTGATCATCACTTTTTTTCCTTCTTTAGGCTGCATATCTTGTACTGCCGGTAATTCAAATCTCGGACTGGAACCAAATAAGAAACGTTACGCGAGTCGTCGAGTTTAAACTGGAGGTATTTCAAAACTTGGCATAACGAACTTACTGCATGAATTTACAATTTGGACCTTCGGGACAAAATCCAGCTAGGTACGCCATACAAAGAACACGACGCACGTGTCGATGTCGGCACAACGGTCCGTGCCTACAAAATCCACGATCGTACCAAGGACAATCTCTGACTTTAGTTTCTGGATCGATATGCAAGAATGGACATTCCTTATTGTGACAGGCATCTAATAATTCATAAATGACGTTAATACACCTGTACTATGAGAAAGCGAAATAGGATATAAGTGTATTATAAATGTGTCCTTGTAAATATGTAAAACACACTTACTAAATCTAGAATAAAAATAACATTCTGGCATTTTTGTCATATCATATTCGTGTAAAAATTCGCACTGGTCGCCCTTTTTACAAAGACCTCTTAACCAATGTTTACAAACAATGGTACGATCTCCTCGTACATGTCGAAATGGACAGGAAGCTCCTTTAACGCATGTACCTCTTGGATAAAATTGACATACAGCAGCAGTAGATTCTAGAAAACATATTAAAATTGGAGATCGAACAAATATAACCAACGACAAGTAAACAACGTAAATGTAAATTAAAAGATCAATATTTTGTTAAGAATTGTTAAAGTAATAAAACATCTTTTATTCAAGGAATATACAACAGCAATATTTATTATTTTACACTTTAATCGACACATTTTTATAGATTTGTGTTGCTAATTTGTTCTACGCTTCCCATGGTATAACCTAACGAAGCGTGTATCGGTGTACACTGAAAAAACAATTACGTACTATCCATCCCAGCAAATGGTAAAGGAAGAGCTCCATATTGTTCGTCAAGAGCGATTTCAATATCAAATCGCATATGATCCACGTTTGCCACTATGCACTCCATTATTATTTGAAATAATCAATCAACAATTACAATTGAGTACGTTCGTCTCTATTGACTACACATCACCAGTAACTGCATGTTTAAACCATTTTACGGTTAAATATTCACGCATCGTGTGTATTTAATATATAAGCGTGTTCAACACTATTTTCTCCAATTTTCTATTTAGAAGTATTCATAGTGTTTATTGATCAAAGAAGATCGCAAATATTATGAGTTCCTCTTCGCGCGACCATCGTTGACCATCGTTTTGCACGTGCGTGACAATTACACGGTTTCTTCACAGCGCGCTCTGTGAAAGATTTCTTTCGACAATCGAATGGTCGTATAATGGTAAGTAAAAAATATTGAAAGTAAAACTCATATTATAATATTGGCAGGGTAAAATAAATTTCTATTTTAATTCAACTTTTGTAGGTACGTTTTTAAAGAAAAGATATCAAAGGGTATACATAAAAAGAAGAAATACCTAATTCAAATGACGCGCGATTTTTATTCAACTTAATAGCCATCTCGCGGTGAATAGGTGGAACTAAAATCCCGACCTCCGTACAGCGCACCACCGGGAAAACGTCTAAGCTTGTCCTCGAATAGTTCCTCTTTTTGACGCTAGATGGCGCCGTTTACGTGGTAATTTACCGACATTATGGTAATATATCGACGAGTCGGTAAATCACCATGAAAATGGCGCCATCTAGCGTTCCGAAAAGGAACTATTCGAGGACAAGCTTGGGCGTTTTCCCGGTGGTGCGCTGTACGGAGGTCGGAATTTTAGTTCTACCTATTCACCGCGAGATGGCGATACCAATTATTGTTCCGTGGGAGCGCGTAATTTCAATTTAAAAATGATTATATATCCAAATTAATGAAATCTTTCGTGCAAAATGTCCTACGTGGCTTTTAATTCGTCTTATCTTGATTAACGATCTATAAAATCTGTTGAGTCAAGACACGAGATAACATATGCTCGCGAGATATCGATATATGTACTTCAATTAAAAGTATCTCTATTTTGAAATAAAGCTGGTCAGTCTCTTTCGCGCTCTCTTTTTCGATTTAGCCGGTACACCGTGGAAAGGAAGGATACTTAGGAAATCAGCGCTACGAAGTAAATCCAGCAGAGCGTGAAGGGGGGTCCTACGACACAGGATGTTCTCCTACCTTCCGTGTCTTTCACGCTCCGAGCCCTCCTACCGTAATATCGTCTATTCGTGGAAAGATACCGGCGGTGCTGTTCGAAACAATGGCACGGAGCTCGTAAATACGTGCGAACCGCGAGAAATTCATGCCACTCTCGACAAACCGAAGACGTTAGAAAAAGGCCCGGAGCTCTTATTCATCAGGGAGACTCGCGAAGCCGTTGAAAGCCATGAAACGAAAGTCCTCTCGTTCGCCGGCCTGTCGCTTCGATTATAAGACTTTCTCAACTCGAATTAGTTGGTCTTACGACGTTCCATCAGAGGAGACACCCGACTGCAAAGGGCGCACAGAGTATTCGAGTATAAAATGGTTCGCGCAGAATCTTTTGTATTTAGCGCGAAGGATCGACAATCCTGTACGAAACCTAGGCGCAATTCGTGTTGGCCTGGCAATCCACGCGATAAGTCGCTAAGCTTTCCCGTCGACTTTTATTCCTCCGGTTCGTATTTGCCCCGCGTAACGGTATCGTCCAAATTAGGCGACCGTTGCGCCGGTACACGCTAACAAACGCGCTTTTTGTTAATCGGCCGCTTCCCCGTCTCCGAACCGTGACTCTACGGCGGACACGGTTTGCCTGTGCCCATTACCGGAAACAGTAAATCGTTTCCTCCTAAATTACGGAGGCGAGAAACCACGGGCACCTCGGACGCCGCGAAATAGATTACTCCGAAGGATCATTTACCGGGCGCGCGAGCTTCGCCGCTTATGGCGGCCACGGATCGCGCAGGAACGCGGTATATCACGCTCGAATCGCTCTCTGCTAGGAAAACACGCTCAACGATTAGTACGATACGTACTTCCTATTACAATTGTAGATTTCGTGCCGCGTAGGGATTGTTGCAGAGATCGACGCGATAATTATGACGGAACGCGTACCTGCGTACCGTGCCGGACATAACCATCGCCAAGGGAGCAATCCTCGGAATAAAACTGGCCGCAGGCGTGGTGAAAATCATCGCGGACGTTTCATTTGCGCCACAATAAAACTTTATCGACGTGTATCCAAGTGTTGGGTATGCAAGTAATACGGACAAGTAAGATATTCGACGCTTTCAAGGTCCTACTTCTTCGTAGTTGATATTAATCAAGTATCTTGGGTGTAAGATGCGTGCTTTTGAATTTTTATTTTTATCACAACGAAATAATAAAATACTAAATTTATTAATTAAAAGTTTCACCGACCAAAGCCAATGGCCACTGTACGCGTATGTCTGCGATCGGAGGCGGGAATGACGATGGAAAAGCACCGTCTAATTGCGTGAAACTCCACGGTACGATAATTCCAGGAGGACGGTTGGCCAGCTATGAAATTTTATGAAGGAAAATAAGAAAATCAAAGGCCATCGCGGGGAGAAACCCCGTCCGGCAAACGCATGCCGTGACAAGCCAGCGTTCGAGGCACGAGCTATATCGCGAGTCGCTTCGGTACCCCCGAACGAGTACGCGCGAGCTGCCGAAGAGACAGAAGGAGAGCAGCGAGGAAAAAAGCCAGGATGGCGGAGGAACGGGGACGAAGGAGCACGCAGAGACGTGGAAAGGAACAATGACTCCGCGGTGGTGCTCCAACGTTTATAGGGCCGTATCGGCCGACAGCGGGGTGGGTTGTGTTCGTAATTAGTCATAGTGCGATGCGCTAACAGCGGCACTCTGCAAGACTGAGCCTCGCTCGTTCGTTCCTTCGTGCGCTCCTGGCGACTCCGGGCTAACCTCGGAAGCATGGCTAAATCATTTACCGGGTGACGCCAAAGTGTTCGAGTAGCCGACACGATTTTCAATTTTGTATCGTACGTCTAGAAACGTACGCATGGGAAACGAAGAATGTTACGATTCAGTTCGTTTGAATCTTTTCTCGAAGACAAATTTTTGTTACGGATCCGATCAGCCATATACCAACTTTCCGCTTTTTTCCGAAGCGGAAGTTCGCGTGCAACTACCGGAGCACTCGCGAGCGTTAACATTGTTTCGAATTTAAACGAAAAATATTCCCTCGCAACGGATTCTCGAGTTGAATTTCTCCATCGTCGCGGGTGTCGCGAAACGACTCCAACGTCAAGTTAAAATTCGCATCACGGCAACAGATGCTAGTCGCGAAACGACTTTGCCGCGATCAAAGAACTCGCGGCTGCACGCGTAACGGACCACGGCAGTCGCATCTGCCGCGAACCGCGACTTGATTTATGCCTGTTCTGACTAACGGATCGTTGCAAATTTCATAATCGAGACCTTGCGAACGGACGCTCCTCGCCTCTCGTAGCA